AGTAGTTTCTCAATAATATTATCAAGACGTATTGTTATATATAACCAATAGTTTCTCAATAATATTATCAAGACGTATTGTTATATATAACCAATAGTTTCACAATAATATTATGAAGACGTATTGTTATATACAACCAATAGTTTCTCAATAATATTATGAAGACGTGTTGTTATATATAACCAATAGTTTCTCAATAATATTATGAAGATGTGTTGTTATATATAACCAATAGTTTCTCAATAATATTATGAAGACGTATTGTTGTATATGACCAATAGTTTCTCACTAATTTTGTGAAGACATACTGTTGTATTCAGGCTTTTATTTGTATATAAATATTTACGCTTGCTTGTCTTATTGTATCTCGTTTTGTTTTATTTGTATTGTATGAACATAATTAAGTAACGGTAGAAAGGCTTAGTTTGTGCAAATCAATATAATTGGTTATTCATTGCGCGAGGAGTTTTCTCCGTTGTAGTTATCCTCCCTCGATTAGGTATAGAAATTAAACTGTATTACAATATTGTAAGCGTCGCTACGCATACAATCTTACATTTGTAATGGTAGATGGCGCTTCTCGAAAGAACGAATGAATAAATTGTTTTATCACGAAGCTACAAAAGGGGGCTGTCTATCTGCGCTCTGCTTACAGCGGGGACACGAAACCCCAAAGTTTAGCGACATAAGTCGAAATTTTACCGCTGACCCTCCGGAGGACCCAACGAATAAAACGTTTCGTTATGTAAGCTAGAAATGAGTTATACTTATAATGTGAAATTACTCAGTTTGAGCTTCGCTACTTTACCTGATACCATTAGGTTACAAATTCATAACTTAGAGAAGTTTGAGGGATGACATTAAACATCCTTACTTGGAAGACTCTATGATAATTACATCTATCGGAAAGAAGAAAGAGGAGCTACATGCTGACCTGTGAGGCCTAACTTGAAACGAGGATCCATATTCCACGAAATCTGAACGCTAGAGGACGTGACCATGGTTACAGACAAATCTCTTGGAGCAGGAAAATCTGTTGGATGGGCAAACGAAGTTATAATAATTAAAATGATATAATAATGTGTAAATAGGTAGATCTAACCGAAATGTGGGTTTCTTTTATTAATATTTAACAAACAGAGAAAGATGACACTGTACTGTGAATTTAACTCGTATGAAAAACTGTAGTGTGAATTTCACTCTTGTGATATTGGAAAACTAACAGAGAGAGATGACAATGAAAATATAACAAATACTTTGGAACTGGAATATGTGTTTCATTGATAAACAGATCAATTTATCAACAGATAAACAGACATATAAAATAATCAAACTTTGTATGTCCGTAAAGAAACAAAAATTACACTCCTGTATCTGTTTTACTCACACGATGTGAACATGTTTATTGAAGTACAAGTCTTCTTAAAGTATCTGTCTATTTCAACAAGTATTTCATCTAGATAGTCAATAACAGATCTTACCTCTGCCAGGAATGTATTGCACTAAAAAAGAAAAGAAAACATGTTATTATTATTTCGCTGAGTTTGCGTTAAAGTATTTCACATTCTTTCAAGAGATTAAGTTTCACAACGTTATATTATAATAACTAAACTAATAGTTTCAGTATTAACTTGACGTTTCACCTAATTTTGTTACTAAACTAATAGTTTCAGTATTAACTTGACGTTTCACATAATTTTGTTACTAAACTAATAGTTTCAGTATTAACTTGACGTTTCACCTAATTTTGTTACTAAACTAATAGTTTCAGTATTAACTTGACGTTTCACCTAATTTTGTTACTAAACTAATAGTTTCAGTATTAACTTGACGTTTCACATAATTTTGTTACTAAACTAATAGTTTCGGTAAAAATCTTGACGGTTCACTAATTTTGTTACTAAACTAAGAGTTTCAAACGTCAAGTTTTTACCCACTAATTTTGTTACTAAACTAAGAGTTTCGGTAAAAATCTTGACGGTTCACTAATTTTGTTAGTAAACTAAGAGTTTCGGTAAAAATCTTGACGTTTCACTAATTTTGTTACTAAACTAAGAGTTTCGGTAAAAATCTTGACGTTTCACTAATTTTGTTACTAAACTAAGAGTTTCGGTAAAAACACCCAGTAATATGCATTCGTTGCCAAAAGGAATCCCTCTTTTTTTCCCTCATTTTGTAGCCGAATGATTATTTTTTGAATGAGACAAAAAGAAAGTAACAGATATTTCGTACAGTAAATAAGGGCAACATTTCATGTTAAGCCTAACATCTCAACAAGAGACAGAAATCTAGTTTAGTGGACCACGTGTTTAGAACGAGTCGTACAACGCTTGAATTAAGAACATTTTATGCAATATAGTCAAGTACAATACATCTAGTGTGTTTTTTACGGGTCCTCATCTCGTTTATCACAGCCTTCACACACGACACAAAGAAGATTAATCAGATTTCTGTACCTTGAACATTTAACACAAATACGACTTCGTCAGCTCCATATTCATTACGCGCCCGACACGTGTAGTTTCCAGAATCGCCTTCCTCAGCACTAAGAAGCTCGAGGGAGCCGTTGGTTAGCACGTGAATTCCGCTTCCTCTTTCCACAATTGGTTGGCCCCTTTAAGTAACACAGCTCGTGTTTTTCAACAACTCTTTAATTAATCATCAAATCTCTGAATTACAAGAAACGAGAGAGAGAGAGAGAGAGAAGAAATAATTTCTTCAAAACAAGGGTAAAAGTTCAACAATAACTTAGTTCCCATTCTTCACCAAGAAACATAAACAAGTGTTTTGATTTATGCCAACGTTTCGTCATTAGGTATAAGCCTAAAATCAATTAGCAACTGTCTTATTTGCCCTGATGAAGCCCCAGTGACGAAACGTTGACTTTTAGATAAAATTAGTTACGTGTTTTTTTTAGGAGTTATAGGTCGTATTTTATTTATATTTTAAACAATGAACACAAAACTCTCAAGTTTGCACTATAAAATTTAAGCTTTTATAATAACTCGAATAGCACTTTTAAATATAACGAGTGAGTTAAGTGATCCAGACTTTCCCAGGTTATAATACAAAAATCACAGGTATGTGGGTAAAAAATGTTATCGGTAGACTGTACCGAAATGTCGTAGTCGTCTACGAAAGTTTCCACCCAGAGAAATTGGAATTTTTCTATTGTAACTTGGGATCCGGTTTTTTATATTTTTTTCGAACATAATATTTCACACATTCTTTGAAGTCTATAATTTATTGGTACTGCTTTACCTGAACGCCCACTGTCTGTGTGGGGCTGGAATTCCCACAGCTAAACACGGAAATTGAACTGTTGTTCCGCGGCTAACTGTCACATGCTCAGGAAAAGAGGCAATTCTAGCAGGTACTGTATATAAATAAAAAAATAACAAAAAATCGACTTGTCAATTAATGTAACAGCTCTTTATAATGAACTGAATAATTCAAGGAATACATTATATACTGAAAATAAATCTTGTTTTTTTTAATTTTGTCGTTTAAGAAAGTGTTACGAATTATAACGCCCCCCCCCCCCCGGTATGTTTGCGGACTTACAACGCTAGAAACCAGGTTTCGATACCCGTAGTGGGCAGACCAAAGATAGCCCAGTGTGCAACTTTGTGCTTAATTACAAACAAACAATTTATAAACAGTAGTTCGACCAACGTAAGGAAATATAGCTATAAAATCTGAGGACTGAGCATGTGGCGCGAAGACATAACGACCTTGTTATATTCATTTTCGCCCTGAACGTATTAATATAACGTGTGAGGAACTGAACGTATTAATGAAACGTGTGAGGAACTGAACGTATTAATATAACGTGTGAGGAACTGAACGTATTAATGAAACGTGTGAGGAACTGAACGTATTAATGTAACGTGTGAGGAACTGAACGTATTAATGTAACGTGTGATGAACTGAACGTATTAACATAACGTGTGAGGAACTGAACGTATTAATATAACGTGTGAGGAACTGAACGTATTAATATAACGTGTGAGGAACTGAACGTATTAATAGAACATGTGAGGAACTGAACGTATTAACATAACGTGTGTGGAACAGAACGTATTAATATAACATGTGTGGAACTGAACGTATTAATATAACATGTGTGGAACTGAATGTATTAATAGAACATGCGAGGAACTGAATGCATTAATATAACATATGTGGAACTGAATGTATTAACAGAACATGTGTGGAAGTGAACGTATTAATATAACATGTGTGGAACTGAATGTATTAATATAACATGTGTGGAACTGAACATTTTAATAGAACATGTGTGGAACTGAATGCATTAATAGAACATGTGAAGAACTGAACGTATTAATAGAACATGTGAAGAACTGAACATATTAATAGAACATGTGAGGAACTGAACGTATTAATAGAACATGTGAGGAACTGAACGTATTAATAGAACATGTGAGGAACTGAATGTATTAATGTAACATGTGAGGAACTGAATGTATTAATGTAACATGTGAGGAACTGAACGTATTAATGTAACGTGTGAGGAACTGAACGTATTAATAGAACATGTGAGGAACTGAATGTATTAATGTAACATGTGAGGAACTGAACGTATTAATGTAACATGTGAGGAACTGAACGTATTAATGTAACATGTGAGGAACTGAACGTATTAATGTAACATGTGAGGAACTGAATGTATTAATGTAACATGTGAGGAACTGAATGTATTAATGTAACATGTGAGGAACTGAACGTATTAATATAACATGTGTGGAACTGAATGTATTAATAGAACATGCGTGGAACTGAATGTATTAATAGAACATGCGTGGAACTGAACGTATTAATAGAACATGTGAGGAACTGAACGTATTAATGTAACATGTGAGGAACTGAACGTATTAATAGAACATGTGTGGAACTGAATGTATTAATGTAACATGTGTGGAACTGAACGTATTAATGTAACATGTGAGGAACTGAACGTATTAATAGAACATGTGTGGAACTGAATGTATTAATGTAACATGTGAGGAACTGAATGTATTAATGTAACATGTGAGGAACTGAACGTATTAATGTAACATGTGAGGAACTGAACGTATTAATAGAACATGTGAGGAACTGAACGTATTAATAGAACATGTGAGGAACTGAACGTATTAATAGAACATGTGAGGAACTGAACGTATTAATGTAACATGTGAGGAACTGAACGTATTAATAGAACATGTGTGGAACTGAATGTATTAATGTAACATGTGAGGAACTGAATGTATTAATGTAACATGTGAGATTTTAATCATATTTATACGATCTAAAGAGTTCTCTCGCTTCACCAGCTTCGGCGTTGCACATCTAGAAACTTTGAACCATCGTACTGCATATAGACAACTCAATTGATGAATTCTGGTGTTGAACGAAAAGGCTCTCGGGTAACAACATAAGTCGAACAAAAGACCGATCTGAAATGCCACTTTCAAGTTATTAATAGCGTAATTAAGAGAGGTGAAAAACATCGCCAGTGAAACGCGATTTTCACGACTTATTGCCCGAAATGAGTTTTTTGGCATCCCATAATTTGGTGTTTTATACAGCAGCACAGACTTTCTTGTATTACACAGAAATAGTATGTAACTCCAAACTAGGCCCGGCATGGTCAGG